TAAAAAATTTAAATATTAAAAAAATTAGTAAAAATCTTCGCAGGCAAATTTGCCTGTGTTACAATTTAAGGGATACTAAATTAATACAAAAAAAAATAAATAAATAAATAAATAATTATTATTTATAAACCTAATATCTTATTTTGAATTGTATTTATGAACTAATTAATATAAATTAAAAGATATTAAATAGCAAATAATTATGATCCTAATTAGCTTATTTTAAATACTTATATTAATAAAATTTTCTTTATAAACAAAGAGAAAATAAATAGTAATTTTTATAAACTCTAAATAGCTTATTTCAAACACTTGAATTAACAAACCTTTTTATACTATATTTCTCTAAATTAACACAAACAAATAGAATTAAATAGTAAATATTTATAAATATAAAGAGCTTATTTTAAACATTCAGATCAATGATTTTTTATTATACTCACACTAAGTTAATATAAATAAAAAAAAATTAAATAGTAAATATTTATAAACCTAGATAACTTATTTTAAATATTTAAACTAATCAATTTTTTTTATATAGTACTTACACAATTACAGTAATAGTAACAAAATAAATTTAAATAGTGACAGTAAATATTGATGAATTTGAATAGCTTAATTTACTGAAAAAAATCTGATCATAGTAAAGTTACTCACTATTTAGTTGATTTACCACAAAAGTATATTTGCATGAACAGCCATCATTTTATAATAAATAGAATTAGGTATATATACAATATATTTATCATATTCTTTAAAATTATTAAATAAATATCAATTTAGCAATTAATAATTTTATGAATTATATACAGTAGTTTAAGAAAAATAGATTGACTAGTTTTTATATTTTAAGCTGAATATCAGTACTATTAGCAATTTAAGCAAAATACTAGTTTACATGCAAAAGTGACATAGAGTAAAATTCTATATATTTTCTTGCAAATGGATTTATATATAGCAAATAATAAAGCAACTGCTTAGAGTTTTATAATCTGCAAATAATCATCTAAGCATCCTATTTTTGTATTTTGACATCCTTTGAGAAAGTATATTGGATGATCATTTATTACAGACATTTTGCATAGCCATTTTCAGAGACCTTTTATAGCCACTAACTGTCTAATTTGATGCAAAAAATAGCTTTGATAGTTCCTTTTCATAATAACCAACAGTATTCTGAACACAAGATCATATTTTTGAAATCTTGAACAATTTAGCAAATATACAATCAATGTAATCACGTAGAAATAACCATAATTATATAAAAAGAAATTAATATAGAAACTTTAAAAAGCTCGAATATAATGATTATTATTAACCTTATAGTAGTTAAATACTATTTCAAATTCTTTGTAACAACCTTTCTTTTACTGGAAAGATTTTCTTTATCTGTTTTTAAAATTTTTGGTGAATGGTAACTAGTATTATTTTTAATTAGTATAAGCTCTCAATTTTTAAATAACCTAACTAGCGGATCATTGATTGCATATAGATGTTTAATTGTTTTAGACCTATTTGTTTGTTTTTACAAATTATAAATGCTATAAAATTAATAAGTAATCAAAAAAAAAACAATTACAAAATAATTTACTTCGTTTTTCTGTTATTCTGATACTTTCATTTAGTATGTTTATTTTGGTGCATAATAGGTTGCTGTTTAAACAAATGCTCCTTGTATTGATGCTTATAACAATTATGAATCATATCATATACAATAGCTTCAAAAACTAAAAACATTTCTAAATCTAATGCATTCATTACTATTGGAACTATAGTATTATTTACTAAATTTTTTGAGAACTGAATATTTGATCTAATTTTAATTGGCTTTGAGCTAGCATTCTTTCAATGATTCAAAAAACTTGATACTGAATATAAAATATAAAATATTATTTAATATGTATGTATAATAATAATAAAATATATAAAACAAATAGAAATTTACTTACTCTTGTGGCAACTCGGAAATTATAAGAGAGATCATTAATAGATAAGTATTTAGCTTTATATGAATCACTTCGATTCTGGATTGGAGAAATACTTTGGCTTCAAGATCTTGATCAACTTTGGCTCAATCAGTTTTAAGATCTTGATTGACTTTGGTTCAATTGATCTTGAAATCTTGATCGACCTCTATTTGATTGGCTCTTAGTTGATCAACCTCTGCCTTGGGCTTGCTCATCTTCACTTTTTACCCTTTGTATATTAAGTCAAGTAATATACAGGGGGCTACCAAAGCATTGTAGACACTTTTTGAAAATTTATATTAAGCTAAATAAACAAGATATAAAG